TTTGATCTCTAGCCAAAGTCATTCCTTTAGTGATGGTAAATATGCAATAGGGTTGGTTAAAGTTTGTGTCAAGCCAATTTTTTACACATCCAAATGACCTAGAGAAACATTTGCATTCATTTTTGAGCTTTTTGGCAACAGTAGGCTAAGCCCTGTTTTTGTACCTTAGTGCAAAAAGCTCCACAAAGATCAACATATCATTGCTAACTTGTTTCTCTCCTGTTTGGTGTTGTGCATGTAATGTACAGATAAACGTATTCCTGCTGTTGTTGCTAACACGGTTAATGAGAGCGATGAGATTAAACCTAAAAGGTGAAATTGTGAGCCAAAAACGTAAAACAATATGCGTAAAGACGCTTAAATGCACTGTTGAGCTAAAGGGTGCTGCTATGTCGAGTATTGGAACATGCATGTTTTAGGAATCCGAATGACTCCTAACACAAGCATGGTCATTTTTCATCCAGTGTTTATCCAATGATAAAACCTGAGGCCTGTACTACGAAGCTGGTTCAACCTAACCTGGATATGTTTGAGTTAGCCGGTTGGCCCAATCCAAAACAAACGCGCTCTGGCTAAACTGTACTACGACGCTGGTTATCAAGTGGATCGCTCAAGCCAGCCGTGTCCTATCTAGTTAGGTGCGCGTTCACATGAAAGGGGTGGTATTTGGAGCATTCGACCAATCTCAAACACGGCTGACGCTACTGACAGCGTAGCGTCATACTTCCTGAATGAAAAGTGAACTTTAATATTAGTCAAATATGAAGAAGTTAAACTTTAAACATCCATGACTTAAACACTTTATCCAGGATAAAAGCCACATAGCTGCACCTGCAAGGTGAATACAGCTGGTAAAAGAAAAAGGGTTTGAATGCGTACATTAACAGTTTATGAAATCACTGCCCCGTCCAAGACACGAGTGGATCTGACTTTAATTACATTTGACTCGAGTGTTTCGTCAACTTAATGTGTTGCTTAAAATAATACTTCTGCATACAGTATGTGACACTGTGAGTGTTGCACGGCCAGATACGGCTCAAGAAGCTGACTCAAATAAGGAAATATATGATACATTATGATGTGATATGATATGAATGATAATGGAACACAGTGCAGTAGGCTACAGTGCCGCGGACTGTACTTAATGTTACTCTGATCCGGTTACTTATGTCGTGGCAGATATTTAAGTAAGCTTTCTTAACGCTAATATTATAATAGTCAGATTGCTCTGAAGATGGGAGGGGATATTCTATTAATTTTCACGTTCACACAGTCAGTTGATTTTGGCCGGCCGTCTTTCCTGCAACGGCAGTTTTTCTGTATTTCCTCTATCCTGTAATATGAATTGATAGCTTTAAACTCCGCACACGGAGCTCTGATTGGTCAGCAGGCAGTGCTTTCACTGAGTTGATCTCTTAGCCTGCCACCTAACCTGCTCCGGAGCAGGTTTGCCGCTCAGCATAAGTTACCATGGAAATCTAGCCTGCTAAAAAGAGAACCAGCGTCGTAGGACCGGAAAGCCCGAGATTTCCCTGAAGTTAGCCGGCTAAGCGAAAATCCAGCTTCGTAGTACAGGCCTCTGGTCAGATCCAGACTATATATTTTTTTGTTTTGTTTTTGTTTTGTTGTTGTTTTATTGCCTGTCCTTGTCTGTCTACCCATCCCCAAATGTAAAGCGTCTTTGGGTTTGAGAAAAGCGCTATAAAAATAAAATGTATTATTATTATTATTATAGCATTACAGTGTTCAATGTTGTTTGTGGGCTTTTGAAAGCCTTTCGAAATTCTGAGGGGATGTTTGAGTCACCCTATGTGCCTTGATAATGCATAGGCTGTTCAGGCACAACAGAGAAATACCCCGCCCCACCATCTCCCTCACTGCTAATGGGCAAATGTGCACCAGCTGCGGGATCAGGTGGATGATCAGGTAATGACCCGAAGAGCAGCTGCTGGACTGGATAGTTAGTATGCATGGAAGGGACACAAATTGATCAAGTTCTTATATTGCCAATATGGCGTCAAAGACTTGAAGGGCATTTTTTTTATTTATTTTTTTTATTTAACCTTTATTTAACCAGATAAAAACATTGAGATAAAATCTCATTTTCAATGCTGACCTGGCCAAGAAGGCAGCAACGTTACACATAACACATAACACAAACATATAAAATACAGAGAACATAACAAAGAAAACAAAAGACGAAAAAGCAGTCACTACATTGTGCACAATAGGACAATAAAAAAAGTACACTACTTGTTACTGCAAGAGCAGCTGGTGGTGAGGACTTCAGACAACTTCAATTTAAAACATGAAATAGAGACAAGTGCCCTCAGTTTAAGGCGTGATTGAAGGTCATTCCAAGACCAAGGACCATAATAAGAAAGACTCCTTTTTCCAGCCTCAGTCCGTACAGTAGGAACCTGGAACCGTATCCAGGCACTGGATCTGAGGTTGTAAGAGTCACAAACTGGGGCAAATCTGACACATATGTAGAGTGGAAGCTTACCTAAAATGGCTTTATACATTAATAAAAATCAGTGCTGCATCCTACGCATAGTAAGTGAGGACCATCCAGTTAGGCTATACAGTGTGCAATGATGAGTCCTATAGGGTGCATTTGATATATAACGCAGTGCAGCATGGTAAAGTGGGTCAAGTTTGGCCAAAACAGTGGGACAGGCAAATTCACGCTCTAGAACAAAAGACAAAATAATACATGAGCAGAATAACCCAAGGCATGGGTGCTCTATTATTAGTGTGAATGCTGTGCAACAGCAATACTGTGGTTATGATTTACTTCATCATAATATTGTTTCAATCTAATAAATGTCTAGTGAATCACAATAGAAAATGTGTGTTCTATAGTTAGCTGAGGGCATCTATTAATACATCGGGAAAACAAACATGTTTACAAAGAGCTGATTCAGTTAAAAATAAATACACCATCTATCTTCATCATTACAAACACAATAGCTTAACAAAAGCTCAACATATTACTGGGGGAATATAAAATGTGTTGCTGCAGGTCATCTGCTCAATCAGTGAAAGTGAAAACAGGTGTGCCTAATTATCCATAAGAAGCAGTAACTGGGCAATTCCAAGTAGTGGAGGAAAGGGGGAAACCTTTTCAGTTGTTGACAGTTTATCAACGTTTGTGCACTTGTGTGTGAGCTTTTGTATGCCAATTGACACCTCAACATGTTGATATTGACTAAATATATTGAAGTAATTTCTTTCTTATTGAGTCATTTATTTTTAGATTTTGACCTCTTCAGCTCACCCTATGCTTACCTGAGCAGATGGTATGTTCCAGTTTAAATAAGGAGGTCGGAGTCGATCTCCTCTGTATGTGTGCATGTGGGAACGAGAGTGTGCTGTGGATTTGTTTTGGTGGTTTTTACTTTGCTTTTACTTGCATTTCTTGGGTTTTAGAGACGAATCCCCCTCCCCTCTTTCCCAATGTTCACACATCGACGTCTCTGTATATGCAAAGTCAGCCCCACAGACTGAAGTCAGTTTAAAGGTCACCTATTATGCAAAATCCACTTTTTCATGTCTTTTATACATAAACATGTGTCCCCTCTGTGTAAAGAGATTCGCTCACTTTTTGTCCTGATCCATTTATATAAAAACCTGTCTGAAAATGAGCTGATCAGATTTTGGCCACTTTATGATGTCATAACGATTTTTTGGCTTGTGTAACCATTAGCCAATAACCAACCAACCCCCCCACCTTATCACCTGAATCTCCTCCTAGAGCACCATTGTGTTCTTTTTAACCAAATATCTCTCAGAGGGGCGTGGGGAGTGGCTCCTTATTTTCATCTAAAGTAACAGACAGAAAATCAGCACTTTTGAAACAGGTCTGAAACAGAGGGGATTATGGGATGCTACAATGCATGATCTGTTTGATATTTGGAGCCAAACACTTTGTATATATCTGAGACCTATAATATATTGATGAAAAACAGTATAATAGGGGACCTTTAAATGAATTGCAGGTTACAGTTATTTATCTGTTTTCAAGTTTAAAGCTCAATATCACAAACTTTATTTTCAACAGAATCTCGTATATATCCCCAATATTAGTCTTTCCACCTGGTCAAAATGAGCTGTGTGGGATTCTTACTGTGAGCAAGAATGGAGGGGCTAATGACCGTTGATCTGTAGTGATTATGAGTCAAGCCATGTGTCCCACCAGAGACCTTGTCTATGAGCAAAGTGGATGAAGCGAAATAAACTAATGCCCAGTGTAAAACCATTTTATGAGGGAGAAATGCCTGATGAGCATGTCATGGCATTTATTTTAAATTTGGAAATAATCTCAGAGAAAAGATAATAGTTTAAATCTGGTTCCTTGATCATAAACTCCTTTTGTAATAATTAAAGCTTGGTTTACTTCATACAAATGTGAAAAAACCATTAACAACCTACTTGCATTTTAATAAATCCACAGTCTGCATATCTAAATGATACCTTGACTTGTCATTGGAAGACACAGCAGTTAGTGTTTTTATTTGTTTAAGCTGACAGAACATGCTTGCCATTGTGCTTGAGAACTTAATACAGCAATTTGGAGTGAGTAAGCCTGGAGGCTTGTTACTCTCCTGTAAGGACGACCAGCGGCACCAAAATATCTCTGCAATGCCAGGACGGCAACGTGCCTTTGCAAGTGTGTTAAGAATAGACCCACAATAGGGCTCACTCCCGTCTTCTGTTGTCTGAGGACAGACAGTGGTCTGCAGGGGACAGAGGTAGATGTGAGACAGAATATTTACATGGGTCTTTAAGAGGATTTGGTGACTCAAATGGATCACATAGTCCTACCAGAGAGGGAGTGTGTCATACTTCTGAGTCACCGTGGAGGTTAATGTGCTACTGGAAGCCACTTTGGTGAAAGGTTAGGGAAGATAGGAAGTGAGGTGCTGACTCAAGGCTTTACCCTTACGCCTGGAACTGGAAAATAGAGTGGATTTTGGAGGGCCTTAAGCGCGGCAAGCATGACAGGATCAAGTGCCTCTGAGGTCATCTTCATCTCTGTCAATCACAACCTCACCTTGATGGGTGAGTTGACTTCCCTGACACGTTTCTGCATTATGTTTGTCGGAAGTGAAAAAGTATAGCTCATTTTTTATCCAAATGTGCTTACTTTTCAGGGAAGGTGTGGTTCATTGTGATGATCTTCCTCCGTGTCCTGATCCTCCTCTTCGCTGGTTATCCTCTCTACCAGGATGAGCAGGAGCGATTTGTGTGCAACACCCTTCAGCCCGGCTGTGCCAACGTGTGTTATGATCTGTTTTCTCCCGTCTCTCTCTTCCGCTTCTGGCTGGTGCAGCTCATCACCTTGTGTGTGCCCTACTTCATTTTTATCATCTACGTAGTCCATAAGGTCTCGAATGGCCTCACTGTGGACCGGATCTCCTCGGGTCACATCAAAGCTTTGCCGTTGTTCAAGAACCACCAGGAGTCGTTCAGCAAGACATCTGTAAACATGATGGCTGAGCAAGCGTGGGCCATGCGCTTCACAGGAGCATATATCCTCCAACTGTTGTTCAGAACATTGCTGGAAGCAGGGTTTGGGGCAGCTCACTACTACCTGTTTGGTTTCTACATCCCCAGGAGGTTCCTGTGCCAACAATCACCGTGCACCACCCAGGTGGACTGCTACATCTCCAGGCCCACTGAGAAGACCGTGATGCTCAACTTCATGCTCGGTGTGGCTGCTCTTTCCCTTTTCCTAAACGTGCTGGATTTCATCTGCGCCATCAAACGCTCCGTGCGGCAGAAGATCAAGAGAAAGATTATTGTGGAGAAGATTTATGAAGAAGAGCAGTGTTTCCTTTCAGGCAGTGGAGCCACCAGAGTTATAGACCCAAACGCCTCCCTGGCTCAGCAGGATCAAGAGACTGAGGCTGGTCCCACAGGGAGTTTCCGAAAGAGGGGAGGCAGCAAGGGATCCTGCGCAGGGGGAGTGCTTGCTTTAGGTCAGGAACCCGCCTGCCTGGAGCGTGCCTCTCTTTCACACTACCCAGGCTGCAACACCAACGGAAACAACGGCTACTTTGTTACCCAGGAGGAGGCTCTGGAAAGGAACGGCAGTGAGGTGGCTCTATGCCCCCCAGAGCCACTGGGGACACCTAGATCCATTCGTGTTAGCAAACGCAACCGATTAAAACCGCCACCTCCACCAAGAAGGGATTTGGGGTCTTCCTCCAGGGAGGCAGCAAGGCCCTTTGGGGACGTTTCCACAGCAACAGCAATTTGTACCAGAAGGATGGGTCAGTACACGCTGGTTGAGCTGGCTAGCGGCACAGAGCTACAGACCAATGATGATGGGCAAGAGAAAAGATCAGAGTGGGTGTGAGGGTTGGATTGCTTTATTTCCAGGTTATTTTGGAACATAAGGATGGGCCAAATACATCTGTGAGAAACAGACAGAGATAGTCCACGGCTCACACAATGGTAACAACTGTTGGATCTGCCATCCTGCCATGCTCTCTACCTCTTTTCAAAATGCAGACTGCACTACCTACACTTGAGGACAATCCAAACCGGCTATGCATCCATCTTAGACTCACAAGGTATAAGGATATTTGCGTCTGTTGTATCAAACAATCAGATCACATTTCCTTTGAGGAGCGCTAGCTGACTGATGACCAGAATTCAAGTCGGGAATAGGACCCTCTTAACAAAACAAGTCAAGAATAACAGGACACCCTAGCCTTAAGCGTCATTGAACAAACCCCAACCTTGAGAAAATCTAAAAGAGTGCGGCCCACCTGTTTCTTCCCTTGTTGGCTTTCACCCCCACCTCCCTGGACACAATGTCCATAAACAAAGACATGCCTTGACCTGTCCTACAACCCCACCTCCAACCACAGACTATATGATACCACCATCTCCTTTGTGTTTGGGTCACTTAGGTCAAAGGACAAGGGTAGCCTTGTGCTTGGGGGTTTGGATGACCTTTTGGAATAAAATGGTCAGGCCAAATATAAGGCAATAATCCGATAAAGATGGTGTTTCTTGAGTTTATAGAATTCTTCCTTCAGAAGTGAAGGACACTATGAAGGCAGACATGGGCTCACAAAGCAATTATGTTACCCCATAGGGGCTCTGTATTTATGGAGACGGCTTGTCACTCTATTTCAGGGCCTCGCGGAGCTTAGGAGGAATACAAGCCTTAGCATACACTGTCACTCAAAATAGAGCACAGCGGAGCGCTGTAATGGAGCGGTGTTGCCTGTTGCCCTTCAGGATAAACGCTCTCTGTCGTCGTGGCTTTGGTTTCACCTTGATCAAAGCTCAGATTCATTTTGGTATGACAGCAGCTCCCACATCTACCTTAGACAGTATACCGTATACAGTGGAGCTGCTGTGCATTTAATTAACTTGTTGCTTTTAGCAGCCATTTCCAGTTGAAATCCCTGGACTACCTTACACAGGTGATTGTAAGGAGACTCCCACAGTTAATCATCATAGTTGCACCTGCCTCTCTAGCCGAGGGGCCGGTCTCTGTGTAAACAGATAGCTTTTGATGTTCCTCCTCTTGTGGTCTCTTTGTAGGTGACAACAAAAGCTCCCCTCCCTCACATCTAACCTATCTTTTGAGGGCTGCACCCTGAGTGTCATGAGAGTGACCACAGGGGATGTTCATGAGACTCAGCGGGTCTGAAGATGCCGCACCTCCTTCATACACTCATTGTTTAGTGTAAAGGTGTAAACAAAATATTTTAAAGCCTGTTTGATCTCTTATCTTTCTATGTTTCATTGATTCTTGAATATTACAATGATGATGATGATGTAACTTTTCAAAGCACTTTATTTTTGTTTGATCCAGTACATTGTGCTGCAGTTGCTTCACCAATACTGTGGTGAAATGATGCTGCCCTCCAGTGACGTACAATGTGAAATGCTGCTTTATATTTTATCCAACACTTGAAATCATATGGGGGCAGTGGGTAATATGGCTAATAAATTGGTTCCTTTAATATTGTGTACAACAATATTCTCTAAAATCCTCATATACAGGATACTGCTACGATATATTATATTCAGCTAATCCAAATAATAGCCTGTAGTAAGGCTCAAACACATGTTATTATCAGATAAATAACACTATCTGAGTGTTACCTGCATTATTGTTGGTAAGTAAGCACATATAATTACTATGACAAACTAAATAACTAATGATAGTATATACCCTCTGGCATTGTGATGACACATTAGTACATGTGAATATTTGTTCATAAATCTTTTGGTTGTGAAACTTTTCTTCAATAAATCATGTAGAAAAAAAGAGAAATTCTTTAAATACCTGTGTTTTTTCTAAACAGTTATTCACGTTGCCATTACTGACAAGAAGAAATGCAATGTCACTATTTGTTCTATAAAGCTTATAAATCTTTTTTTGTGGAATTCAAGGGCCTGTGTTTTCTTCTTAATTCTCGGTCTCAAATATCAGAGACCCAAGAATTTTCACGTAGCGCTGGTTAAGAAACGTGTTTTTGACTCACGACGAGCTGCGTCTATACTGTCAGTTAGTACCTCAAGCTTAACGAAGACTTTTGAAGTTCTGTCACGTGCTGTGTGTGTAGGGGTGTAGCTAGCAGGATGTATTGCAGGATTTATATTGGTGCATAGACTGTTTGTCATCGTTTAAGCTCACAGCGACAGTATTTAGGACATCCAGACATACTAGTTTGCCCTTTTGTGTAATTAACTTTGTGTGTACAACGCTGAACCATTAGTAACCAGCATTTCAAATATGTAACGGTATAGCTTATTAGCCCGGCATTCCTGAATTGTGTCTTTCTTCATCCCAGTAATCTATTACATATTACTGTTATTTGTTACATGGAACTTCATTAGCACCTGTGGCTCCTGTGCTTCATTGTTGGTCAGTAGGTGCATACAATTGCTGTTTTAAACAAAATAACGTCTTCTGTGCTGTTTAATATTACCCTATGGCATTGAAATAACATTTTTTTTACATGTGAACATTTATATCTTTATGAAACTTTTGGTTTTGAAACTTTTCTTCAATGTCACTTCACTTACTTTATCAAGCCACATCTTTGTTTTTGTAATATTCAAGGGTGCTTAAGCTGTTTTTCAAAATACACACATACAGGTTGGACTGGCAAGCAGGTTAGGACAGTAGATGTTTTTTTAATTCCAAAGCCTCTCAGAACTTGCGTTGTTGTGTATTTCCTTGTGGCTTAACGGCTTGTGGCTGATTTACATATACACAGTTATAAGAAGCAGGGCTTGAAATTCGAGCAACAGTTTTGAACAAAGTCAGTCATACAGCTCGCCTTATTAAAAAGCTCAATCCATTCCACTATGTTTGTTTATTTCATCCTACTATGGGTCTGTGTTTTCTTCTTCATTCTCTGTCTCAAATGTCAAAGAATTTTCTTTGAGGGCAAACTCCATTAACGAGGTAAAACGGCATGTTGTGTATGTGGTGCAAACATCTAAGGTAATTCCAAAGAAACTTAAGCTGGTTAAGAAAGTTGTTGTCTCTCGTGCTGCATCTCTACTTTCATTTAGACCCTCAAGCTCAACTTCTGAAGTTCGGTCACCTGCTGTGTGCATAGGGGTGTAGCTAGCAGGATGTATGAGCAGGATGCATATTTGTGCATAGACTGTTTGTTTATTTGCATATAACTAAGTGTGTCTGCATTACCTTAATTTAAGCACACAGCAACAGTATTTAGGACATCCACATATACTAGTTTGCACTTTTTGTAATTAACGTTGTGTTTTTAATTTGTTCATGTAAATTCATGTAATGTGTTGTGTTTGCATAAGCTGTTACATATTAGTCTTAATATTATTGTTTGTTACGTCAAAATTGATTGGCAGCTGCCACCTTCAGGGGGCTGGGTTATTTAGTTTATTTCTTCAATAAACTAAATAATGTCTTCTGGGGTGTATACAACAAGTATGATGGTTGCCAAAACCTGTTTTCAAAATGCACACAAACAGGTTAAGGCACCTCTGCAGAAATGTGTATAAACAAACTCCCTTTGGTGTCCTGGTCTTAGCATTTTCAATATTAAACTCCAATCTTTGACTTATCTTAACTAAGTCATTGTGTCCCTAAACCATCATTTATTATACAGTTCTTTATTAGCACCAGCAAGTCTTATTGGAGATATTCTGGCACGTGGGGCAGCAGTTTGCAGGCCTCTTTCAGTGGTCAGTCCTTTGCAATCATAATACAATTCTACAAACATAAGACATTTGTTTCAGGTCCATGTAAAATGTAAAGCAGAGAAATCTGGCATACCTGTTTTTGTTGCTGTGTCACATGCTGTTAAATATGCAGGCTGAAAGTAACAGAGCTTCAGCTGGGAGGGCTTAGGGCGTCAATATAAAATCCAGAACTTGCTCTGTCTTGTCTTTGTTTGTGTCTTAACTGAGTAGTCTGTTGTTGTCGTTTTATATTTGAGCATCCAGAAGAAGCAGGGCTTGAAATTCGGGCCAAAGCCACCCATACAGCCTACTTTTTTTAAACTACTTATTCCATTCCACTGTGTTTGCTTATTTCATCCTACCATGGATCTGTGTTTTCTTCTTTATTCTCTGTCTCAAATTTCGGAGACCCAAGAATTTTCCTCCAGGTCCTACTCCATTACCCATACTGGGGAACCTTTTGAACCTCAGCGTGCACAACCCCATGAGAGACTTGGAGAGGGTAAGACGAACAAGTAGTAGTCACTTTTTATGGGTGTGAATTAAAAGCATACATTTTTTAGAGCTTTCAACTGTGCTTTACCCTATAGGAAGTCCTATGGAAATGTCTACAGTCTCTTCATCGGACCCAAACCCATTGTAGTCATCAATGGGGTGCAGGCCCTGAAGGAGGCTATGTTGACCAAAGGTGCTGATTTTGCTGGACGGCCCCAAGACATTTTTGCCACTCACCTCACTGAGAACGGTAAGACGGATATGAAGTGTCACAACAGTTACTGTTCCAATGTATCATTGGTGCTCGAGTTGATGGCCTGAACTAGCTTGAACTCCCCCCCCCCCCCCCCCCATTTGTTAATCATAGAAAGTTGGACCTGCGGCATATTACCATTCCCAGGTGTTCGCCTATCAGATTTAAATACGATAATAATACAGTGTGTCTTTGATCTACAAAGAGCCCAAATATGATAGTTATACGCTGAGCTCGCAGCCCAAATTGACATGCAGTTTGTGAAAAGTTGTAGTTTTTAAAGAAGCGCTGTTTGTTGTGAGTAAAAAGTGAAAAGTTAATTTCATGAGCAACAAAACAAACCCTTGTTTAATTCAGTACGATCGGCGGTTGTGTTGCTACTGCTTTACTTGTTCTGACATGACCAGTAGCTAATGTCTGTGTAACTGGACAGTCTGTCTGCTGCCTTTAATTTTAATTATTATAATGTACATACTTGCATTTAGCATCTTGTGATTGTCATTTGTGGCTGCTGTTTAGCAAAAATAAAAATGACCTTTTTAAGATTCTGATCTTAAAAACACCATGTGCCCATATCCACGCCTGTTATAGGACTAGTTCTGGCGGACTACAGTCCTAGCTGGAAGGAGCAGCGTCACTTTGCTGTGACGACGTTGTGGAATTTTGGCCTTGGGACAGAGTCGATGGAGCAAAGGATTCTACGAGAGCTGCATTTCACAATGGAAACACTGGAAAAGAGCATTGGTATGTTATCTATGGCACTTAGACCTCTCATTCTTTGTTAGCACACTCTTCATCTTTGCTACTGATGAACTGACCTTGCTGAGTTGTCAGTGTTGCATCCATCACAGGTTCAACGATGAATCCTCAATTTTTGTTTCCTAATCTGGCCTCCAACATCATCAGCCTCATTGTGTTTGGTAAACGTTATAGCTGTGAAGACCAATTCTTCAAAGAGGGTGCTTCAGAGAAAACTCCAAGTTAACTAATGGACCTTGAGTGAGTCGCACCATGTTTGTAATGGAACAGTTTTAGCTCAGAGAAACCTTGCTCCTGACAGTAGTAGTACCATTTAAATGTACTGGGCCTTATATACAGTGTTTTGTAGTGCATGAAGGTCTGATACTATGCTTTTCCAGTGGTGGAAATAAGTTAGAAAACAAAAATAAGTTGATGTTAATGACTTTCTGAGGTTTTCAAATGAAACGTAACCAGATAATTCTGCTTGGTGCCACAGGCAATGGTAGTCATGCTAAGTTTTGAGCTAATGTTGTCTAATCTTACATTTTATAGACTATCTAGTGACGTAGCCAGTGTGTGAACCCCCTTTATTTCTCCTAATAAAATGTTGATTAGGAATGGACAAGCCTGCGTTTGCCGACTATTTCTGCGGCATTAGCAGCATTTATACAAACGTAGGAGTGTTAACTACAATTACAAAAATGTTTAGTCTAAAGTTGTACCTTTTCGTTGTGCAGCAGCAGAAGTTTAAATGTGGATCTTTCACAAAGAGCTTATTTTTCCTTACAGCTGTTTGATATTTCATATGAAGACACAGGTCTGAGTAACATGTATTCTACTCCAGTCTGTGATCCATGAAGTGCAAAGGACAGCCAACACGGTCCCTTTCAGTGTCTACCACCTTACAACAAAAGACACGAAGCTCATGGGATATTCCTTACCAAAGGTACTCTTTGGATCATTTTAAAGTTTCCTAGCCTTTGGATTGCTGATACTAACTGCTCCTTTTGTATCATCATATCATATTATATAAAGCAAGTTATATTTCTACTCAGGGCTGTGGTTATCCCGAACATGAAGTCAGTACTGAACGAGGAAGGACAGTGGAAATGTCCTCATGAATTCAACCCTGAAAACGTCCTAAATGACGAGGGAGAGTTTGTCCAGCCAGAGGCCTTCATGCCTTTCTGTGCAGGTAAGAATACCCATCTGTCATCCTCTGCTGTTTAAAAAAAAGAAAAGAACATGACTGATTTAAAATGTTCCAGGTCCTGGAGAGCGTCTGGCTCAGATGAAGTTCTTCCTCATCATCGTGACCCTGCTGAGGAAGTTCAAGTTCATCTGGCCTGAAGATGCAGGAGAGCCAGACTACACCCCCGTGATGGGAGTCACTCTGTCTCCTCACCCATACCGCATCAAGGTCCAACTCAGGACCACGCAGTAAATTATCTTTGTTCACACAGGAGACACTATAAAGAGTTATCTGGAACAACTCAAGAAGTACTCTAAAAGCACGTTTTTTAAAGATTCACGTCTTCATAGGAATGACATGTATTATGGTTTAGTCAATTATAGTGTCCAATCAGAGCTGGAGAGAGAAGACTAAATTGACTTAATGGCTCCCTCAAGTGGACAGAATTAGGTATTGGGTTTAATAGTTTTATTTCTGAGTGAGAACAGTAAGGCTGTAAATAGTTATAAAGTTTGTAAGGGTAACCCGCTTTGGAATGTGTGCAATATGGGGTATGTACTGTAAATGGAATACATATTTAATATCTTGGCATTATTTAAATATTGTCAAAATGGTTGAATGCATAGTTGAGGCCTTTGACCTGCGAGGCTCATATTACAAATAAATATAAAAGGTTTGTCTTCTAAAACAATACAATAAGTGACTCTAGCACACTTTTAAAAATTGCATTTTAATCTACGTGAATAATGAACATTTGTAGTACTTGTGAAAACAGATGTGACCTATTGAAATGGCCGGTAACTAACTACTGATCATTCATATTGTCAATAAAAAATGTTGAAACTAATAAATAATGTCTGGATTTGTATTCCCTTGACACACATTGAACATTGTCACAGTTTGGTCATCACCCTTTTTTATACTATATACAGCTCGTTCTCTGATAATTCTGCTACTATTTATTTATCTATTAACAGAACAGTGACATCACACCCATTTTTATTGACGAATGTCTGTTTTTCTGAACTCAAGACCCCCCCCCCCCCCCGATGTGACCGTACCCAGAGTGAATCTGGCCGAACACTCAGCGCTTCAGATGAAAGAAGTTTTCCTTTTGTGACGATGTCAGTCAGTCAGAGAGAGACTGAGGGAACACAGTGTTCAACCGCCGTGTGTGTGTGTGTGTGTGTGTGTGTGTGTGTGTGTGTGTGTGTGTGTGTGTGTGTGTGTGTGTGTGTGTGTGTGTGTGTGTGTGTGTGTGTGTGTGTGTGTGTGTGTGTGTGTGTGTGTGTGTGTGTGTGTGTGTGTGTGTGTGTGTGTGTGTGTGGGGGGGGGGGGGGGGGGGTTCTCGGATTGGAAGAGGCAGCAGGGGTGCACTGTAAGGACTACTAAACCCCAGAGGCATTGTTACCGTGCCAACGGGGTTCCTGCCATTTGTGCTGATATCTTTGTGAAGCCCAGTCATAGTGCACGAGTGAAGCATGTATTGCTTAAAAACTGCACGATTGACACATTTATTTTCCATTTTATTTTCCCAACCATCTTCATTAAACTCACCTTTTTAAATGTGCAAAGCAAACGGCAACAGCTTCGGTGAAGTCCAAGTCCCTTAGCAGCTATAACCATGAAGCCTGAGGGCCGAACCTCTTATTTTTCCAACATCTGCCGTCTCAAATGGCCAGCTGGGAATAATGTGCCTGAGCTGGAGGTCAGGAGCGCCAACATTAATCTAAATGGGTCACAGAAACCCCAGGTCACTGTTCTGCTTTATGCTTGGAAGAATACATTTATGGAAACTGCTGGGTTTTAGTGCCATTGTTCATCTTCCACTGTCAAATGTTATCCGGAAAATATAAAAGACATGACACTAACTGGCATATTTACGAAATCTCATGCAATCTCATATGGAGGTACAACGTTACCGTACAAACTATATTGGGAGTCCAAAGGTACAGAAAAGCTGTAAAAGAGGCATATAGATTTGGCACACTTTATTCTCAATATCATTATCAAGGCATTTTTTAGATGTTTTAGGATGTACCATGAGGATCAATAGTATTGAAAAGTAAAGACTGCTGTAAATATTTACTGTGAAACCAATATTCTTCCTGGCTCCACAACTGAAGATTTAACACCTGTATACCGTGCATGATTGGAGAAAATAAAATAAATTATCAGCTGCCTTGACTACCATCTCCTGAATTTGTGTACGGATCGATTTATTTATTACCAGATATGTTGCCATTGGTTACACCTCTGCAGCTCAGTGACACCACTTAACAATGTCTGTTAAAGGCTGTGGGGTAGCATCCGTGAACAAGCCCTGACAAGATTAGATAATGGCATGTCCATAAAACACTTGCTAATAAAAGTGATGTCCTTTTTGACCTGGACAATTGCCAGTTATTACCAGACAATTCGGAGAGCCCTGCCCTGTCTGTGTGAAGGTTTACCTCATTACACTCTCAGACTTTCTCATATTCACAGCACTGTGTTTGGCTGGTGACCCCTGTGGAGGAAACAGGCTGTTACATGTTCATTACAATGTGTGCATAATGGCCAAGCCAGGACATGCTGCTGTTGTTTTGTGGAGGCATCGGGGGAAGATGGGTAAAAGCAATGTGTTGAGCAGTGAGGGTCAGTTTTAAAGTATCTCGTAAATGGTCTTAAGAGTGGAGCCTAAACTTTGATTTATGTCTCATCAAATCCCAGTTAAGTTTAATTTTAAGTGTATTTATTCAGTTTCATCAGAGATGACTGGGAAGTGTTAGGAAAATAGAGGAGCAAAATCACAATTTCCCAGAATGTAATCATTACAATATTGAAATATGCAATTTGGGACACTATTCGTAACAATATTGCATTATACATTTTGAGTGATACTCACCTGTGGAGGCCTTATAGTTATTTTTTCCTATGTGAATCAAATACAAATTAAGATATCATTTTTTCTATCTACCGGTTGTTTTTTCCTGATTAATAGTTTTTTCTATAAATTGTGAAAAAAGTCCATCATAACTTCCAACAACTCCAATTGACGTTTCGAATGTCTTTTCTGTAAAACAGTCCAACAATATTCAGGTTATTATACTACAAAAAAAAGAGAATGTTTCTCATTAATTTGGTATTTTTGTGTGACAAAAGGCTTAAACAAATAATAGAGAATTAAAATAAATGTACCCATGTTGTCATCTCCATGTTTTGTTAATCACTCTTTCACAACTACATTTTTATATGGAATCCATCGTGCCGTAAACTTTTATATGCTATAAATACTTATATTATTGGGAAATACCGTCTTTCTTCAATTTATCACCACACAGTTCTGTGTAACGTTCTCCACTGCTGAAATAATGTAAGAGCTCTGACCACCTAAAAAAACGGTGAGATTTATGTTTGCCACTCAAAACTACATTATTCTTAGAATGTTGACACACCACAGCTCTTGTGGCATGTGGAGGTGTAATGCTCTGCTTCTACCACTAGGTGGGGCTGCACATTAACGCTAGGAGGCTGGCAGTGAGAGCTGGAGCTGCACATTGAGGTTTCTGAAGTAAACACAAGAAAAACCAGCTGCAAGACTGAAAGCAACCATGACTATTTGATAGAAATATAACAGCAAATCATCCAAGAGCATGGACTTCGATGCAAGATATTTACCTAGCAGAAAGCAGTACATTATTGCATTTTTTAAGGAAGATTTAAACTCCCAAAGTTGATCTTTAGAAACTTTACAAAACACTAAAACCCAGAACAGTTGAAGAGCTTTGTGGCAGCACTGATTCTTAGTTTAAATGGCTGATTTACACTCCGAACAGATGCATGTCTACAGTGAAAAGGAGCTTTTGGGGAGCAACATCTAAGCGTAAAGAAATAAAGCAGGAATAAAGCAGTGACTACAAAGCCCACTGTCACAATTGACCAGCAAATCAAAGGCATTTCTACGCTGGGTTACAGTGTATCATCTGATGCCAGCGCATTGGGTTAATTGGGACTACACCAGATACATTTGTAGCAAAAAATGCCTCGATTAGGGGGCCCTAAGATGTGAGATCATGTGAACAGACCACCTGTGGGGCTTTCATTGCTATTTCAATATCATTCATGTCAAGGCCCCTGCACTCGCTGACACAGCTTGAGCCGAGGGAGAAGATGTTTCAATTCAGGCTCTGCGAAAAAACCAAACACAAGACACAGGGGCTCTGGCAGGTTTCAGGTCTGACAAGCCCAGAAAAGCGAGGGGTTCCAAAATGCTCTTTCAATTGTGGGACGTCCATCAAAGCATCCAAATGGGGATGTTTAGGGGGAACCTTGGCACATCAGACAGACACTCCTAATACACACCACCTTTATTCTAGGCCGTTAAAAAAGAAAGATCAAAGTTTCCGCAGATGAAAAGGGTCGGTTCCCTGCATTTATACCCCCATTCACCCACTCCCTCTTTTACTAAATTAAGAAAGCGGGCTTCGGCAGGCATGTGAAGAGGACTTCAACAATTATGGAGATGCTCCAACTCAACCCCTGCCTCTAATTACCGGTCTCTGATGGTTAAAAGGGCTTCCATTTTAGCCGGGACTCTCAAAAGCTGCTATTGCTGCTGCCATCCTCAACACGGTGACCACAAGGAACCACAAAATATGCCTGCACAGGCTCGAAAACACAACAGCCTCTTTTAGGATTGGGAAAACAGTGCAGTTACACAGATGTGTTTGATTTATCAAATGTTTTATTGTCAAAATAAAGTTCATATTTGTGTTCTCACAAAAAGAGACATCTACACTTTGTACAAATTTACAATAGCTTATAAAGTTTTCTTTTATACACAAATGTACACATTTTTACATATCTTTTATATAAATACATTTGAAAATTACAAAAATGAACAACCCGTAAAATACTTGGGCACTATTAAGGCTTAATTTAAACCATCTTTGATTGAATTATACAATGTTATCTGGCACTATGTAGATAAAATGGCAAATGCTCTTTGTATGAAGCTAGTTAGGAACAAAACTGTCTCTCTGCCTTCAACAAGTAATGCCCAGGTTGCGTGAAAGCCTCAGTCTGTACCTCTTATACATAAAAACATGGAGGAATTAACCTGTGTGAATGCCAGGTACATTGTTTCAACCAACTCTCCCCACAGAGGTGTGTGAGTTTGGGAGAATGAGGGGGAGGGATACCTCAGCAGCAGTTCATTACTATGCAAATTGCTTAAGACAGGGACTGATGGGTTATCTCCCAAACAATTAGCAGTCCTCATAAGCTGCTTTTTCTCTTATTCAAACCTGGGACAATGGCATCTGCTTGGGGCAAGACACAGAGCTGGCCGTGCCTGACCTCCACGTTAGTCCGGTGCTCACGTCACTGTACATGGAGCCGCTAGTGCCTTTACTGCCCCAGCAGCATCTGGTGCAAAAAGTCCTCCAAGAGTCCAACGTTTTCCCAGACCAGATCCACACCCCGGACGTGATGCCCACTAAAAGGCACATAAAGTACTTTAACATAAAAACGGCATAGTCCGGGCTCCTGCGGTCCCTCTCCAGTAAACAGTTGGAGCAGTTGTGTGTGATCTCCCAGCTCTGCCTGTTGTGTTGTTCATAAAAGTAACAGGCTACTATGATAGTGGCTGGCACCGTGTAAAGCACAGTGAAGATGCCAATTCTTATCATCAGCTTCTCCAGTTTGTCTGTTTTGGTGCCACCCTGTTTGATGACGCTGCGGATCCTGAACAGAGACACAAATCCGGCCAGGAGGAACATAGTTCCTATGAATAAATAAATCAC